TTCTTGAAAGTTCCTGAAGCGTTACCCTTGATGCCTTGCCCATTGGGCACAGCTGCCAGCGCATACGAAATGCAACAAGCTGCCGTGCGTCCGCCAGACTTATCCTTACTCTTAGACCTGCCCCTGTGTTTCTTTTCCTTCTTTGCCTTCGGATCCGGGGTCGGACTCCTTGGCTTGTCATCGTTTTTTGCAGGGGCGGCCTGCTCGGTAGGAGCGGCATCACTTGGTTTGGACCTGTCCTCATGCAGGAACCTACAGTCTTTGCCTTTAGTGCATTTACCTTTCTTCCAAAAGGTGCAAATGGCATTGATCTTCTTCTGGGGTGTTCGATGAGGACTTGGGGATCTTGACTTTGGTTTGTGGAGGAATTTACACTTGTCGCCTCTTGTGCATTTTCCTTTCTGGAAGTCGTAACAAATCTGTTGCGTTTTGGGACTCTGAGATCTCGGCGGTGTTCGTTGGCTTGATCCTTTGCTGCTTGTTCTGGATTTTGAGCTACTTCGGGACATGCTTCTACCACGGCCTCCTCGTGAAGAGGGGCGTCGTTCCGATCCGTAATGTGGGTGTCGGTTTAGGAATATAGGCTCCTTTAATGCGTCGGCTCGGGGGCTAATTCCGAATCTGACAAAAAAATTGGGGTGAACTAATTAATGCGTTTTTTTTTGGCTGGGGTGATTTTTTGGTGGCGGGGCTGTGCTATTTGCTGATGGTCAATCTCAAGGCAGCCACGACCTGAACCCCCACCCAAACCCCCACCCAACCCTAAAACCCTGGCCCTGAAGCCCGAAAATCCCTTGCAGAATTGTTTCGCTTATTGGGGCGTCAGGAATGAAAATCTGTACTACCACTGTACTACTACTGTACTACTATTCTACTATACCTTGATTATTGGGGGGGGCTGCTAGGGTGAACCGCCGAATCGGGGATTGGACCCTAGCTCAAAAGAGGCCTCTCCAGTACTAAAGTTTGTATAAAAAATTAAGTTTTGGGTCGAATCTGGACCGACCCCCCTTTGGAAGGGTTTAAGGCTTAGGGTTCAGGGTTTGTTATAGGGTTTAGGAGTGTAGGATTCTTTAGGGTTTAGGGTTCGGGGTTTAGGGTTTCAGGCGCTGGCTTTATGCTTTGCTTATTGGGGGGAATGTACTCACTGGCTTTATGCTTTGCTTATTGGTACTATTTCTGTACTATTACTGTATTACTACTGTACTACTGTACTACTGTGGTACTACTACTGTACTACTAGTGTACTACTACTTATTGTACTACTACTGTACGATTACTGTACTACTATTGTACTACTGTACTGTTATCGTACTACTACTGTACTACTATTGTACTACCACTGTACTATTGTTGTATTACTATTGTACTACTGCACTATTATTGTACTACTACTGTACTACTACTGTACTATTATTGTACTACGGTACTATAATCGTACTACTACTGTACTACTACTGTACTACTATTGTGCTACTATTGTACTACTGTACTATTATTGTACTACTACTGTACTACTATTGTACTACCACTGTACTACTGTTGTATTACTATTGTACTACTGCACTATTATTATACTACTACTGTACTACTACTGTACTACTATTCTACTATACCTTGATTATTGGGGGGGGCTGCTAGGGTGAACCGCCGAATCGGGGATTGGACCCTAGCTCAAAAGAGGCCTCTCCAGTACTAAAGTTTGTATAAAAAATTAAGTTTTGGGTCGAATCTGGACCGACCCCCTTTGGAAGGGTTTAAGGCTTAGGGTTCAGGGTTTGTTATAGGGTTTAGGAGTGTAGGATTCTTTAGGGTTTAGGGTTCGGGGTTTAGGGTTTCAGGCGCTGGCTTTATGCTTTGCTTATTGGGGGGAATGTACTCACTGGCTTTATGCTTTTCTTATTGGTACTATTTCTGTACTATTACTGTATTACAACTGTACTACTGTACTGCTGTGGTACTACTACTGTACTACTAGTGTACTACTATTGTACTACTACTGTACGATTACTGTACTACTATTGTACCACTGTACTGCTATCGTACTACTACTGTACTACTATTGTACTACCACTGTACTATTGTTGTATTACTATTGTACTACTGCACTATTATTGTACTACTACTGTACTACTACTGTACTATTATTGTACTACGGTACTATAATCGTACTACTACTGTACTACTACTGTACTACTATGTGCTACTATTGTACTACTGTACTATTCTTGTACTACTACTGTACTAATACTATTGTACTACCACTGTACTACTGCTACTGTATTATTATACTACTACTGTACTACTACTGTACTACTATTCTACTATACCTTGATTATTGGGGGGGGCTGCTAGGGTGAACCGCCGAATCGGGGATTGGACCCTAGCTCAAAAGAGGCCTCTCCAGTACTAAAGTTTGTATAAAAATTAAGTTTTGGGTCGAATCTGGACCGACCCCCCTTTGGAAGGGTTTAGGGCTTAGGGTTTAGGGTTTGTTATAGGGTCTAGGAGTTTAGGATTCGTTAGGGTTTAGGGTTCAGGGTTTAGGGTTTCAGGCGCTGGCCCAGACCCCCCCGACCCCCGACCGCGCAGTCGCGCAGAACCGCAGACCCTGCACCCAAGCCAGCCCCCAAACCCCGGCACCTCCCAATTCCCTGCCAGGGGCTACCGGTTCCATATTAAATAGGATTTTTTTTTTTGGTCGGGGGGGGGGGGGTACCCCACTATTAAACCGACACCCACATTACGCTGGGGCTCCGTATCTATCGCCATGCGACTTAGCAATGCGATCACGATTCTTGCGCATGCGCTCCCTAGTCAGATGCTCCCTAATGGCATTGACGAGGAATTCACAACTGAAGATCGTACTTGATGCGGTGGGATTTCCGAATTTCCCTCAGCAAGATGTCCCTCAAGGTAACCTCATCCGGAACATGACTCATTCCAGCAATCACCGACTCGAAGTTGTAAAGGAAGGTAACCAAATCGTCCCCAACCAACTTCACTTTTAGAAGGTCTTCTACGCTATAGAGGCTTCCGACTTCTTCATTAGTCTTAAAGTGTTGGTGAAACATCCACAACACCTGTCTTCCCCTGACGGCGCGTCCTCCTGTGGCTTCTGTTTCTTTGAAGTTTAGAACTTGCCTTGAAATCTCTCCTCTAGCGACTCTGGTAAGTGCAGCCAACAATTTCGTGTCCAATGTTAAGAACTTCCCAGTATCGTGCAAGGACTTGAGGGTAGCCTCTTTATCGTATACTTCCTGCACCCAGCGAAATGCCTCATCCGGGCGATCGCTCGCAGCCCGCACAATCTCGCGGACCGAGATCCGCCATGATCGGTAGGTCTCTGGATTAGGGTATTCGGGAAGCTTGATGCTTTCGGCTTCTTTCACCTTTGGTTTCCCCTCTTCCTCTTCGGTCTTAGGGTTTACAAACGCGCTGCCCTAAGCAATGCCTCAGCTCCGAAATCAACCCTTGGAACACCTTCTGGATCAGCAGTTTCCGGCTTGCCCGTTTGGGCAGCTTTAGGAGAGTTCTCCTTTTGTGGTTCTCTGCTCTCAAATCCAGGTGGTACTGAAGTCCCTTGTGTAGCTTCCTGAGCTCGCGGCGTTCTTCCGAAGAGATCCTTCATGCTCTCGGGAATCTCAAATGGATTCGAGAATGGGACGGCAGGATTTGGTTCTGGCTTCGGCGTGGCATGTTGTTTGCCCGCTTTATCCGCATCAGCTTCCATTCTTAGAGCTCGTTCTGCGGCGGCCAGCTCATCCTGCAGTCTGTCGTTTTGTGCACTCATTTCAGCGATTTCGTTCATAAAACGCTGTTCCATAGTCGCTTCGGTTTCATCAAGGACTTGTTTGAATCGCATTCCAAGAAAATCAAGATGTTGTGCTTTGTTGCGTTCGCTCTCAGCGATCAGAGTAGTTCTGAGCTTAGCGATTTCCGATTGATGTCGTTGTTGGAAAACTGATTCCATGATATTCATTTCATTCCTGCATGTTGCAACTTCGTTCAACAAAAACTTTTCCCTTTGGGATGCGTTGAACTCAAATTCCGCAAACTGTGCTTCGCATTCTGCCATCTTCACCTCATGAAGGCGCTCAGCCTGTTCAGCCATGCCAGCCATTCTCATAAGGTTGTCTTGTGATTGTTGGTTCAGAATGCTTGTGTGTCTTCTTTCGGCATCTGCCTCCGTTCGCTCTATTGCCATTCTTTGCTGTTCGGCTGTCTCACCTTGGTTCACAACATTGTATAATGTATACTGTACGTTCGAGATGTCGACCGACGGATTCGAGACAAAAGGCGATAGGGTAGGACCTCTTGGACCGAAGATCCTATCAAGTGCTTGGGATCCTGAGCTCGGTGCACTGGGGCCCATGCCAGCCGTTGCGAGTTGCTCGTCTAATAGTCGATCTCTTGTTTCGTCGTCCATCTCGTCTGATGACACTTCGGTTGTCTCTCCCTTCTCAGTTGTGATCAGGGAGGGAGAAGTGCTCATATACCAGTGTGAATACCAGTGTAAGAATACCACGGAGACAAAGTCAGCGAATACGGCTGATAACCTATAGAATACACCAAAACCGTTAAGCCATGAGCGGTAGCAGTACCTTTTACTCAGAGGGCTTGGGCACAGAGACACGGTATATGATACACAACATGATGACTGTACACGACCATACAAACTCCTACGCAAGCTGCGATGCAAAACTACACAGCCCACCTTCTACGAGTTCATACAAGGAAACCAAAAAATGTGTCACAAAACGAAAGCTCTACTGTAAAGAGAACCACAGAACGACTATGCCGAAAACCCCTAAACCCCAAATTACCTGTCGTCTTGCAGAACCCTTGCAGAACCCTCAACTTAGTAGCACCCTCATGCCCTTGCTGGAACTCTAAAGAAAAGGACCTTCCTAGAACGGTACTATAGAACCTTTAAGGGCATCGCATAGAATATCAGAAAGCACCTAAGCCCGGATTCCCGAAGAAGCCGAGCTCCAAGCATTCCCTCCTCTCCACCCTCGGCATAGCGGCCGGCACCGTATCTGAGAAGAGCAAAGCAATGCATGCTACGAAGGGTCTGCAAGAGAGGAGTTTCCGACAATAGGGGACCCTAATAAGGTACTCCCCATTTTCGGAAACCACAGTTCTAAAGGGAATTCTATACAGATCCGGCAGAAGGCCCGAAGGGTCTGCAAGATAGTTCTGAAGAGATTCTGAAAGGTCCTCCGGAACGGACCCGATTAAGGGTTCTATACTATACCCCCCTTAGAACCATAATAACAATAGGATTTTTAATCGTCTCTTGAGCTATATATGAACAAAAAGTGGAAATAACAATAAGTACTGAATAGTATATATGGGCATATCAGAGGCGACACAAAGGATTCCAGAAAGGGTCCTACAACAACGTCTAGCTCAGCACCTTTATCTGAGCAAGATGGGGTTATGGATCGTATGGGCCCCCCGAAAAGCCACATAACCAACCAAAAAAGCGACTCGGAACCACCAGAATTCCCGAAGCCTGAGTGCCTAACCTGCTAAGGTACCGATACAATTCCATATTCTATATCCGTGTTTATACCGCTGACCCTTACTACCCCTATACTTCTAGACCTGCGTTATGCAAACGAAATGTAGGGCTTTTTGGAGTGTCGACCTAAGGGTTGCAAGCTTGGAGTGTTGCAGGGTCTGTAAGGGTTTTGCAGGGACTTCATAAGCGTTGTAGAGGGTGTGTTAATTTGGTGTCATAGGGCTTGTTCATGCACTTACCGTAAACCCTGAACCCTAAACCCTAAAGAACCCTGAACCCTGAACCCTACCCATCCTAGAAGATTTGTTCAGGATCCTTTCGGGTTGTATGGGGCTACTCGGGGTCTTTAAGGTTTGGGAAATGGGTACTGATCTCCACAGAGGCCCCAAAACAGCACGACACCCTTAGAAAAACGAGCTACAAAAGGACCCTAACTTGGATAACTGCCCACATGGGGTTTTAAGGAACAAAGAGAAAAACGCTACTAGTATCCACTAGCCCGTTTGTGCTAACATGGACGCCTGGATAATTCGGCTTCTATCCGGTAATCTGCCCTACCTTTTTGAACGAGCAAGGCCCCACATTATGGCTCTGTCATTCTGGAGTTGCAAAACGGCTTCGAACTTATACCAAAGCAAGGGTGAACTATATGCTGCAGAAATCCCGTTACTTCGGGAGTCGCACTTCCAGGGTGGGCCGCCAGATTGAGGCTCAACCTCCCTGCTCGGCTTGCCCTCAGACACGCCCTCATCTTGCTCAGTCTGGCCCTGAGACAAATACCAACAGTCTCCATTGTAGTTCCTTTTTTGGGTTAACCAAAATCTCTATTATAGGATCCTAACCATAAAACTGGTTAACCAAAAAAAGGAACTACAATGGAGACAATAGGTAGATCAAAGCCTCCTGATGGAACTTGTTCTTCTGGCTACTCTTCCGGGCCTGACCGGCATGACGCAGCATATCTTCGATCTGGAGCGCCGCAGGTTTAGGGACCCGTCCGGCCTCCGACGGCTCAGCTGCTTATTGTTGTTGCCTTTTCTTCGAATTCCTGAGTTTAATGGACGGCAAAAAAAACCTGCTCGATTCAGGGCCGGTTCCGCAAGGGAACCGGTCCTCGCAGGGACAGTGACTGGTAGTCCTGCCACGTTGTGCTCCACTTGTTTGTTCACACCTGCTCAAGGCAGTTCGATCGCAGGGTGGCTGGAGCCATCTCCTTCTCTGTATATATATATGTGTATATATATATGAGCGTGTTTATATGTATATGTATGTGTTATGTACATGGACTCATGCACACATACATACGAATGCATTTATCTATCTAAGGCTTTTATAAGTGCCTTACTTATAATTACCTACCCTACTTTCTGAATACCCATCTGAAACCCCCAACCCAAAGCATCGCAACGTCCAGCCCCCTTAAACTCTGAACCAAAATGTCCAGCCCCCAGCCGTGTGGCCTTTCCAAGAGCTCTTTGTGTCTCTGCAGCGCGCCGAAGCGGATACCTCAGATTAACTTCTCAGGGGCAGAACTCGAGGTTCTGGTTTTAGGGTGTGGGGTCCTAGAGGGGGTTTGGGCTTGACGGTTTAGGGTTGAGAGAAGGTTTTGGATTGAGAGTGTAGGGTCGAGAGATTTAGGACTTCAGTGCATAAGTTAAACCTTAACCCTGAATAACCTACCCTTTTTTGGTCCCCTATTATGATTTCCTTAGATAAGTCCTTAAAAAGGTGTTCTTCAGGGTTAAGGAAGGGCCTAGGCAGACGTTAAGTTGTGAAGACATTGCTTAGAAGCTTCGGAGACTTGGTAGGCAAGTTACTCAGCCTATTGCCGTTTACAGTGTGTGTACTTATAAGATAGTGTCCTAACTGCTAAGTGGCCGGATCCCTCAGTGTTCCTATACCCTAATCAGTGTTCCTATACTCCAAACCCCCTGAGCTCTAAATCCCTTGTTCCTGACTTCCTAATGGAACGGAGATTGACTCGATGGCTAGTGATATGATGCAGGACTTAAGTTCTAACATATATTACATAATATATATATATATATATATATATATATACATATATATATATATAATTATATATATATATATATACTATATAGCTAGCCTCTTCAAACTTCTACTTGCACCGCCCGGCAGTCTTTCGGGTCCTAGGGCTTTCGGGTCCTAGGGCTTCAACTTTTTACCCCCCTTGGACCACCCCCCCTTAAGGACATCCTAAACTTTAGGATGTCGGGGATTCAGGGTTTTCGGCTGTAGAGCTTATGCGGTTTAGGGATTTTTGGCTTTCATGTTTTGTGGCTTTGAGTTTACCGGGTTTCTGTTTTACCTGAAAACTCCTTAGCCGACAATTGCAGGCTTATAAACCCTTAACACCCACATCCCATGCCCCGGAACACACAGCAGCCTTTACACCCTGCAGCCCTACAATTGAACCTTCAATCTACACGCTTAGGCCACCGCGGGCCCCTGCAAACCCTGAACCCTAAACTCCTGACACCCAAGTCCTGTAACTAATCCTAATTATAAACCTGTAACCGATAAAACCCTGTAAGCCCTAACCCCGACGCCCCAAACCCCCAAAAGCCCCTGAAGACGTAAAACAAGACAGGGCGCGGCCCTGCGAATCGCCGGCGTAGACGAAGTTGACGAACCCGTCACACAGATTGCAAACCTTGGAGATTCTTCAGCGTAGGACATGTGGCTTTTTGGGGTCTATAGGGTTTAGGGTCTTGAGGTTTATGAGTCTGTGTCTGCTGTTTAGGGCTTAGCTCTTGAGATTTTGCCGGCTTTGCAAGGTTTAGGGTTCATTTTGGGGTTCGAGGGTTTGGGGTTTAAGGGTTTAGGGTTTAAGGGTTTAAGGGTTTAGCGTTCAGGGCAATTCTTTGCTTGGTTTCAAGGAAAAGCTGTGTCAGTGGTTGGCCCTGGGAGGAACGAGAAAGAACTGTACATGCAAGTGAGAAGGGGTCGCGGGCTCAGAGTTCCCTATATAAACCCTAAACCCCTAAAACCTCAACCCCTAAACCCTAAACCCCTTAACCCCTAAACCATAGACCCGCTAAACCCTAAACCCCTAAAACCTTAACCCCTAAACCCCTGAACCCCTAAACCCTTACCCCTAAACCCCTTAACCCTAAACCCCTAAACCCCTAAGCCCCTAAACCCAAAACCCCTAAAGCCGTAAACCCTAGGTTTCGGCTTTCAGGCTTTCGGCGATGGAGAGTTCTTGAGCTTCGGGGGTTTGGGAAAAAAGGTCCTGGGCTTTCGACTTTTGGGAGGTACGCTTGATGATATAAATCCTGCATGACCCATAATAAGGAATATACCATAACTCCCATAGATTAGGGTCCTCAAGGTAATGCACGATTTATATCATCAACAGTAGGACCTCATTTCTGGGTTGATAGGGGGTTTAGGGGTTTGGGATTTAGGGGTTTAGGGGCGTAGGGGTTGAGGGGTTTAAGGGTTTAGGTCGATTACTACTTAGGTATCATACACCGTATCATAAGTATAACGGATGTGATTACACTATACGCCATAAGTAATTATGGGTGGAAGTAATTAATCGGACAATGAACTGTTCAGCGGTACAAAAAAGCACCGTTGAACGCAAAGATCATGATAAGCTGTATGAACGTCTCCGTACCTCAATGCGTTTGTGCGTGCGTGCGTGTGCGCTGTGTGCCTGTACATCGTCATGACAGCCCTGCACCCTAAACCTTTCGGTATTAAACCTTAGGGGCTTAGGGTTGAGGCTTATAGAGACTTATAGAGAGTGCAGCTTGAGTGTTGGGATGCACTTGCACATCGTAACTCTCCAAATCGTCACATCCGACAAGCTTGAGACAAGCCCACCCCTCAGGGTCCATTCCCCCAACACTATATGGGAAGCTCTGTAAATTAGGGGTCCCTTTTTCAGTCCCAATATAGTATGGCACCCTTATAAACAGGACCCTAAATTAAAAGGGACCCTATTATAGAGAACTACTATATACTTTGGCCTTAGAACTTGTCCCATCTAGGTACCTTGTTTCGTAACAAGGGGCAAGGCCCTCAGAACGGCGGTACCTGTGGTTGAGGCCTTCGGGAACAGACGGACCCTGAACACCATCCTGACCACCGAAAACCTTATGATGTTTAGGGTTTAGGGTTTAGGTATTGGGGGTTTAGAGTTTGGGGTTTAGGATCTAGGGTTTAGGCTTAGGGTTTTTTCCGGCTTCGTATATAAGCCGTGAAACCGGGAAGTTTTTGGGTTGGCCTAAACCCTCTACACAGCCTGCCGAGGTGACCTTTTTGAAAAGCGATCGATGCTGCTGCGCACCCGATCACTGGGGTGCGTCGTCAGCCCTAAATCCTAAAACCCGAAATGCCGAGCCCGAAACCCTGTATATACCCCTAAGCAAACACTCTAACCGCTTATTAAACCCTGAAACCTCCAAGCCCTAAACCGCGTCATCAGCCAGCAAGTAGTGCGAAGCCCTTTGGTAGAAGCCCTTGGTGACCTCCCAAGCCTCCATGGCTGATTGCCGCATCGCCCGACGTGTCTGAAGTAGGTCTTCGGCACTTAAGTGAGCAAGCTGATGCAACAGGTCCTGGGCTTCGAGGTTCCAAGATAACTTCTTGATAACAAGGGCACACTTCTTCCTAATAGTCAATTTTTAAATTCGGAGACCCCCAATCTAAAAAGGGCAAAAAGGGTACTACTCCGGAACCTGGGCTTCGAAACAGCCGTGAAAGCAAGGCATGGGGGGAGATACTGTTGATGGACAAAATCCTAGGGTTCCTTTAAAGGGATCAATAAGGGTACCTTTAAGGGGCTCCTTTAAGGGATCTATAAGGGTTTTAGGGTTTAGGGAAATAAATCCTGCATGACCCATTATAAGGAATATACCATAGTTCCCCTGGTTTCGGGTCCTTAAGGTAATGCAGGATTTTGTCCATCAGCAGTACGGGCTTTCTGTAAGGTGTTTTCAAAGGGGCTTAGACGCGTTCACGAGGGCTTTGCACTTGTTTGCCAAATTTGTTGAGTTCCTTCAGTTCCATAATCAAAGGGGAAAGGGAGGGACCCTTAATGGGGACCCCTGGGTCCCTATAATGGGGCTATATAATGGGTATATAATAGCTATATTAATGGTATACACCTAGAAGTGCTTATTAAGGGTCCCTCCTTTTACCCTTGGTCTGCATCTACAGCAGTTTTGATTCCACAGGATGCGGGCCATCGACCATGAATCAGGAGTCAACGGCCACATCACAAGCTTAAACACTGTGGCACACAAGATTCCGAAGCCCTACGTAACCCCAAAGACCAAGCCCTGAACCTTAAAGCCTTGAGGTCTACAAACAGCAGATTCCAACCCAAAGAATGTCCGAAGCACGAATACCTAACACAGGGGCCGTAGTCATGAGAATAGGGTTTTCGGGGTTCTGTAAGGCTTGCCTTTAAGGGAGCCTATGGCCTTAATGATTAGACTTTCGGAGGAGATTATGAGTGCGTTCATAAAGCAAGAAACCCTTGAGGATTCTTGCAGGGTTTAGGGTTTAGGGGTTTAGGGGTTTAGGGTTTAGGGGTTTAGGGTTCAGGCTTTAGGGATTCATGGTGGCAATTATTTATTCTATATTACTGGTCCAGTCTTCTCAGGGGTATAACTTTTGGGGCTTGAGTTGAAAAGGGAGAAACAACCCTCAAACATGTTGATGGACACATGCTTGCCTTGTTGGCATCACGTTCCCGAGCCCCTTAAACCAGTAAAACCAAAAAATCCGTGTACAACCACAACATAGGCCCAAGAAACCTGCAAAGCTCTACACCCCAACACCCAAACCGAAAACTCTAAACCATAGCCCAAGAAACACCAAAACCCAAAAATGCACAGAGTAAAACGCGCCCAGCATCGGTAATGGAGGAGAAGCGGTAGACGTGAGGTAGCCTTGGCAGAAGCCAAAGAACAAACTTATCTCGAACTCGGGTTTAGGGTGCTATCCTTCAAAAGCAAAACAAGGAAACCAAAGACCACTCGAACAGCGACTGCAGGCAGGGTGTAGGCAAACAAATGCAATCAAATGATTCCGCCGACAAGAGCAGGCAAACACAACATTGCAGAAGCCTTATCCCTAAGAGGCCTACAAACCCTCTAAACAGTGTAGAGCCAACGACAACAAAGCTTTGTCTCTGACCTCGAATCCGAGGCCCCATAGCCCACATAAGCTCCATACGCTCAATCCCCATGAATCGAGAACTTAAACCCTTGGGCCCCCAAAAGAGAAATGTTGAGGGAAGCCTGACCCAAAGGGGTCCTAGGTACTGTTACGGAGGATACTTCCCCAAATCTTAATAGTAGTTCCTCTCGTAGAACCCCTACAGTCTACTAGATAGGTACTTTGGACCCTGTGGGTAGACCCTAAACCCCAAACCATCATAGAAAACCTTTTAGCAACCTTCATGGTAATCCTAAACGGGAACCCTGGATTCCTGGCTTTACGGGTTCCTGTAAGACTGGGAAGCCCGAAGATAGGGCCCCAAAAAGGCACATATGCAAAAATAAGGTTATATAGGGATATCACATATAACCCCGCTTGTAATGAAACCCAATAAGGTAGGGATATCCCTATAAAATGCTTAAGCTTAGGTGCTTTTTGGGTCCCTAAGAAGAGAAGCCTCCTAAACCGGGTGGCAGAACATAGTTCGCCGTTGCAATTGCCTCCCGCAGCTTTCCCGCATCAAGCCTCTGCTGCTTTTTGTTGCGGTTGAGCAGGGCTTAGGGTTTAGGGGTTTGGGCTTAGGGTTTTCTTACTTGGATTGTACTCTTACAAGCCTGTCTTTGAGAGTACAGCTCCTAGTGCCTTTGCTCGAAAAGGGGGGCTTGCGGATATTCGGACCTGCGGGCCGTTACCCTCAGGCTTAACATAGCCCCAAAGCCTTATATAGTATGGTCTTTGGGACCAAAAGCCTTAAAATATGAGTCCTTAGAGCCTAAGGGTTAAGGATTGAGAGTATTTTGGAGTGAAGCTTAGGGTTCCGTAGTATAGTTTTCCATAGAAGGGGCCCCCCCACCCTGAAATAGCCACTATAAGGATTATATTAGGGCCCTACTATATTCCCACTATACCGCTATTACAGGCTGGGGGCCCCTTCTAAAATTTTTGCATAGGTTTCTATGAGTCTTGAGGTTCCCTGATACCCAGGACTGAACAAACAAAGACCTCATGATTGCTACAGGGTTTAGGGGTTTAGGGTTTATAAGTTTAGGGTTTAGGGTTTAGGGTTTAGGGTTTAGGGTTTCGGGTTTATAGCACCACAAAACAAGCACGTACAAATAGTTTGCATCTTCTTGCAACGTAAGTGGCATGCCTGTTCCCGTGTAAACGGCGCTCGAGTTGCGCCAGTTTTGCCAATTCCATCCAGGATCCCAGGGGGGATCAACATCATCGGCCCGTGCCTAGGTTGGCCCTTAACTAATCGCATGAATCTGCTTTAAAAGCACGATGGCGCACGGGACACTCTTTTAGACCCAATAAAAGACAACATCAATGTCCCAAGGGACTATATATGCCCAGGTGCATAGTGAAGCTTCGCGTGCTGCTCACGAAGGAGATACCAGGGATAGTTCCTGGTGCTCGCCAGCTGTGCATAAGCTATGGTTGCTATGAGCTCTGGTTCTGGCATGAAGATGG